CATCTGGAAGAACCCTTATAAGAGTGACAGTGTGTAAATTAACACTCCTGACAGGCTGCTGATCGGATTTACTGCCGTTCATTCAAAAGGTGGGGCGAGGTAGCAAAGGTTAAACTGAGAAACGAAACAGTCCGAGGGATTGATTTGCCACGGGAAAAGATGACGTGATTTTCTATTGCTATTTTTCCTGCAGTACAGTATTATCTCTCCGAACGGCTGACTTCTCTTGTTTTTGCCCTGCTTTTTACTCAATCCACGATGAATAAAGTTGTCCAATAAACTGATTTACAGACCGGATAGTGAGGTGAAAATAGAAATGGCAAAGGTCATCAGGAGATATTTATATCTTACTGTGGAGTGTGAAAGGGACGAGCAGGCCAACGATCCTAGATCTTCTTCAAAATGTGTTTAGGTTTTGTGGCATATGATATACAGCCTAGTCTGTCATTTGGCCGTAGGCTTGAATTTAGTGAAGGTCTCGAGGGTCACGCTTTTATTAGCATCTGAACCGTTAATTGGATCCTAGTAGGGACTTACACACTCGCTCTAAATGAAAGTGCAGATAAAATGTGTCTCCACCAAAGTGGCTCGAGGTTTCAGATTCTACTCGTTTTAAATTAGGCATTGTCTTTTCTAGTATTTTAAAATAATTTGACAAATGTGTAGGGTTTATCACAATTCTGAGTTAATATCTTGCAATTCTGAATTTATATCTCGCAATTCTGAGTTAATATCTTGCAATTCTGAATTTATATCTCGCAATTCTGAGTTAATATCTTGCAATTCTGAATTTATATCTCGCAATTCTGAGTTAATATCTTGCAATTCTGAATTTATATCTCGCAATTCTGAATTTATATCTCGCAATTCTGAGTTTATATCTTGCAATTCTGAATTTGTATCTTGCAATTCTGAATTTATGTCTCGCAATTCTGAGTTAATATCTCGCATTTCTGAGTTTATACCTCGCAATTCTGACTTTTCCCTCACAATTCTGAAGTTATATTTTGCAATTCTGAATTTATGTCTCGCAGTTCTGAATTTATATCTTGCTATTCTGAATTTATTTCTTGCAATTCTGAATTTATATCGCAATTCTGAGTTAATATCTCAAAATTCTGAGTTTATACCTCACAATTATGACTTATATCGCAATTCTGAGTTAATATCTCAAAATTCTGAATTTATATCTCGCAATTTTGACTTTTCCCTCACAATTCTGAGTTTATATCATGCGATTCTGAATTTTCTCACAATTCTGAGTATATCTCGCAATTAATTCTGAATTTATATCTTGCAAGTCTGACTTTATATCTCACAGTTTTCATAGTTCCGAGAAAAAAAAATCTGAATTATGAGATAAAAACTTTTTATTTTTTTATCCCTTGACAGAACAAACTTCCCTAAAATATCACTTGTTCCACATTTGAACCATATTCATACTTTTTAACTGAATAAACTGTATTGTTTTCACAATGAACTGAATCTAAACATGCATTTAGAAAATATGATTATTTAATTAACTAATTATTAGTTATGTTAAAACTGTGTCATGCAAATAGATGAAAATTGTATATGCAATTCAAATACATTTTAAATTGAGGCCTAACTATTTTTTGAGTGCACATTAAGCTTCTAAAGTTTCATGTGACACACTTGATGGAGGCAATCTCGGGCTTGTGGTGTGAATGATCTGTAAACCGTTGGTCAGTGTGGAACTGTGCTAAGACCAGTAGATGTGCCGGACACGTTCACTGTATGCGCTTCATCTCGTCCTGTTCTCACACTGTCACACGGTTTCTCGTCTTACACACTCAGTAGAACAGGATGAATAAAAAAGATAAACTGCTATGACAGGAGGAAGAAATATATTTCATGACCGTATACCTGCAAATCACTGTGTGTCTGACAGAGCATAAGATTTTATGAGCGCCAATTTAGCTTTATAGTGAACTGTTAATGGATAGTTTAGACTGCAGACAGACAGTCGACATTATTTACATTCACATTTTTATGAAATGAAGTTACTTTACATATATACATGACCTATCTATCTATCTATCTATCTATCTATCTATCTATCTATCTATCTATCTATCTATCTATCTATCTATCTATCTATCTATCTATCTATCTATCTATCTATCATAAAGTGGTATTGGCATGGTAAAAAGACTTTACATTGCTAAAGCATTGGTAACATGAAGTACAGACACACACATTACACAAAATAAAATAAAGTTTGATAAAATAATGAAATAAAAAAGTTCAAAATATAAACAAAATATAAAAATATGTTAAAACAAATTAAAATAATAAAAAGTAAAAATAAAATAAGCTAAGAAAAAAAGCATGATTCTATATCTATGTATAATTAGAACAAATATCAAGTAAAGCTAGATGAGTAGATTTTGTGAACAAACTTTGAAGTTGGCTTGAGAAAGCCTAGCAAGTTTTAGCATGTTTCTAGCATGATTAGCATGTTGTTAGCATGTTTCTAAAATGATTAGTATGTTGCTAACATGATGTTAGCATGTTGCAAGTGTGATTTACCATGAATTAGCATGCTGTTAGCCCGTTTTAGTATGTTGATTAATTAACATGTTGTTAACATGAATTAGTATGTTGGTATGTTTTAACACATCTATCTATCCATCTATCTATCTATCTATCTATCTATCTATCTATCTATCTATCTATCTATCTATCTATCTATCATAAAGTGGTATTGGCATGGTAAAAAGACTTTACATTGCTAAAGCATTGGTAACATGAAGTACAGACACACACATTACACAAAATAAAATAAAGTTTGATAAAATAATGAAATAAAAAAGTTCAAAATATAAACAAAATATAAAAATATGTTAAAACAAATTAAAATAATAAAAAGTAAAAATAAAATAAGCTAAGAAAAAAAGCATGATTCTATATCTATGTATAATTAGAACAAATATCAAGTAAAGCTAGATGAGTAGATTTTGTGAACAAACTTTGAAGTTGGCTTGAGAAAGCCTAGCAAGTTTTAGCATGTTTCTAGCATGATTAGCATGTTGTTAGCATGTTTCTAAAATGATTAGTATGTTGCTAACATGATGTTAGCATGTTGCAAGTGTGATTTACCATGAATTAGCATGCTGTTAGCCCGTTTTAGTATGTTGATTAATTAACATGTTGTTAACATGAATTAGTATGTTGGTATGTTTTAACACATCTATCTATCCATCTATCTATCTATCTATCTATCTATCTATCTATCTATCTATCTATCTATCTATCTATCTATCTATCTATCTATCTATCTATCTATCCATCTATCTATCTATCTATAATCTGACTATCTATCTATCTATCTATCTATATCTATCTATCTATCTATCTATCTATCTATCTATCTATCTATCTATCTATCTATCTATCTATCTATATTGACAAAAAATATTGTATGAGCCAAAAACTCATTACTAAACACCAATGACTTGTACATATGGATATACAGTCATTTTAGACACTTCCAAAACGGTTGCAACAGAGATAGAAATAAAAATGCCTGGCTTAAGGTCTGCATTTAAAGTCACAGCAGAGGTGTTCAGCTGGGATTTTCTGCAGACCAGTCAAGTTCTTCCACACTGACTCAATCAATCATTTCTTTTTGAACCTTGCCTTATACACAGAGGCTAGAATAGACAAGGGTCCTGTCCAAACGGTTGCTATAAAATTAGAAGCACACAATTCCCTAGAATAGCATTATATGCTTTAACATTAAGATTTGTACTCATGGAAATTACTAAAGTAGTCAAACCTGTTCATTAGAAGGAGGTGTCCCTATACGTTTGTCCATAGAGTGTATCTATCTATCTATGTGGCTTTATTGGCATGGTGAAAAGTTTGATAAAGTAAAAAGTAAAAAAAATTAAGATATATCTATCTATCTATATCTGTGCCATGCAGATGAGGGTTATGCTATGCATACTAATAAAACATGTCATCTTATTAATATAGTGCTATAGTGCTGAGAAATTGCACAGCTTTCGTCTCATACAGGTTTTGTTGGCTTCATTCATTATTTCAGAGCAGAAGCCGTCACTGGTGTGTGATACTATTTCAGCTTTCTCGGGAAGCTTCTCATTTTGCCATCTGTGCAACTTTATCTTTCTGCCTTGACACATCTGCTCCACTCTTTCTCTTCACACTGACCCTTCCTCATTCATGACACCTCTCCTCCTCCTCAGCTTTCACCCTTCTATTAATTCTAATGTTATTTTGAGGTGTTTGGGGAGTTTGCACGTGTTGAGAGACCTCAGAAAGTTTGCAAACTAAAGAAAGCGCATGAAAATACTGTAAAAAAAAAAAAAAATCGTAGAAGCAATGACAAATGTGAGCCTGCAGCACAAAAGCAGTGTTAAGTTGCTGGGGGATATTTGTAGCAATAGCCAAAAATACATTGTATGGGTCAAAATTATAAATTTTTCTGTTATGCCAAAAATCATTAGGATATTAAGTAAAGGTTATGTTCCATGAAGATATTTAGTAAATTTCCTACTGTAAATATATCAGAACTTAATTTTTGATTAGTAATATGCATTGCTAAGAACTTCATTTGGACAACTTTAAAGGTGATTTTCTCAATATTTCCAGATTTTCAGATAGTTGTATCTCAGCCAAATAATGATATGTCATATATCAAAGAAAAAGAGTAACAGTTACGAATCAGCGAATCTCAGTTTTGTTTAAAACAACTCACCGATGAGTGATTCTGACGATGCAAATAAACAATAACAGTTAATAAATAAACAAAAGCTCAATATGCAGATCTAATAATGCAAAACAGTCAAACTTTTAGTATAATTTCTAGTCTTGTCATGCTTTGAAGACTTTCTGTTACTGTCACCAACAATACTGGCACTACTAAACATACTAGTTACTACTACTGCTAGTAAATAAATAGTAGAGGTAGCATAAATACTGAAAAAGGCTGAAGGAAATGGAGAGATGTATACCTTCTGTGGGCTCGGGCATGGCTGTGGCTGCGTCTTGCTTGTCTTCCTTCGACTGACAGCTTGTGTCACTTTTTTTTTCTTTTTATTTCACAGTCCCTGGGTTATTCAAAGCGTTCAGGGAACTCAAATTACCCACCAAGCAAGGAGAGAGCGGGAGGGAGGGAGACAAACCAGGGGGAGAGAAGAGAGAAGCACTGACACTCGAAACCCTCCTGGATTCTCCAAGTCTGAGAAGAAAGTTTGGAGAGATGGAGGGAGAGCTGGAGATGAGGGACGCGACACGAGTGTTTGCTGACAGACGTGTTAAGGTGTTGTTATTTTACAGAGAGTCTTACACCAGCTAAACAGAATGCTGTGATGCCGCTCTTTCAACACCCTTTCTCACGAGCACATCACATCAATGTTTCTTTATTTGTGTCCATGTCTTTGACACAATCTGCTGAGTTTGTGTTATTTTTTTGTGATTATTTGCTGATTTTGTGGGGTGGTTGCTCAAGCATTTGTACACACTCGTTTACACACACACATACCCATTAATATATTAATATTTACAAAATAATAGTAGCATAATATACTATGTCATATATAAAATAATGTTTTAATTTAACAATGATTTTAGTATTTACTTGAAATGTGTTTATATATATATATATATATATATACATATTATATATTATATACATATTACTATAATATATTGTATAATATATTATGTGTACTATAATATATACTGTGTATTTAAATTTGTTTGCCAAATATTATTTTAAAATAATAATAATAATATATTTTTATAAATGTAAAAAATATATAATTTTATATTAAACATTTATTTTAAATATATAAATGATCAAAATAAATATATTATATACATATTACTATAATATATTATACTGTGTACTATAATGTATTATATAATATATATACTGTGTATTTAAATGTGTTTGCCAAACATTATTTTAAAATAATAATATATTTTTTAAAATGTTAAAAATATTACTTTATATTAAACATTTATTTTAAATATATAAATGATAAAAATGCATCATCATATTTTATTTATAAAAATTTAGACATACATGTATATATATATATATATATATATATATATATATATATATATATATATATATATATATATATATAT